ACAATTATAAGCCCATCAGAGTATAAGTTTCTTCTTGTAAGTCTTCATCATAATTATAAACTCGTCATACCAAAAACATTCACATATAACACAATTGTTGTTGTATACAACTATTACTAATGCATGTAATATGAGATGTAGAATTCATGATAACACATTAAACAAAATATATATGTAATGAGTAATGCATCAAACTACATCCTATTCATACAATGAGTGATGCATAAATCTAAAACTCAAACATGCACATAAATTAAAGACTCAAAATGCAAACATTGTACAGTGTGGATTTCAGAAATCCATTTTCTAATTGGACTACTAGTCCATGATAAAGTTTTGATCATTAGCATTCATATTTCATTGGACTTCTTGTCCATGATAAGCTTTTGATTTATTATCTTAGTTTCATGTCGAAATCAAAATGGACATATGTTTCTATCCCTTATGCACAAGTCCATTCCTTCTGCATATGCATATTATATATCGGTTCCATCATATTCCGGTATCATATAATTCCTCAAGGTACAATTTTAATTTGCATGCTATTTTACCAATGATATCTGAATACGTTTCTCATTGGTACCATCATAACTTTTCTTACATAATAGACCATCTATTGTAATAATTCAAATATTTATACCACTTTTGGGGTATTTCATACTCTATGGTATTTATATACTATTACAATATTAAAAGAGTTAACTGCACTATCGTGCCACATATCATATCTTTATTTTGGAACCGATCATACAACTCACACTTCATGTGTAGTGATTCAAGTATAATTGGCAAGATTTTATCTCAATGTATACACATAATATGACCAAAATGTATCTTCAACGCTATGCAACATAAGTCATAACTGAATACAAATCAAATCATAAATGTGTAACATATCTTGATAATATATAGACAAAAATTGGCATATAACTTTTCAAACTACCATTATAGGGATCATCAAATTCTTTTCGATTTCCAACTTTTTCCGATTCTTTTCCCCCTAAGTTGGTAAAGTATCTCATTTATAGGGGCGTCTAATTCTATACCAACTTAGTATATAAATTTGCATTAAAATTCATTTCATTGCGAGGATCACAATCAAAATTTATCTCTTAGAAGATTTGTATTAAACAACATTTATCTCTTCTGGAGAAGAATTTCAATGAAGAATCATTTCTTCATTAACTTTACATTGCATGTGTATTTATTATTACAATTTCCATAATATGTTCTCTTCTGGAGATCAATGTCAATGGGGAGACATGTGTTGTGCAGTTGTACATTTTCCTTCTTCTCCTCTTTCTAATGTGCTGACATATAATAGCCCCAATAAAAAGAATTGGTATACAAGCGTAAATCACTTGCTTGTAATTCTACTAGGTGGTGATCTTCTAGATCTTTGAAGACTTAAATAGTGTATTTGGTGAGCTTCTGGTCACCTAATACTTGAAAATAATACATAAGTTATTTTGGTAAACTCCTGGTCACCTACTACTCTTTCGTATATATAAAAATCAAAACCTATTAACTCTTGAAATTTTCATCAACACAAAATTATTATAGCTCAATCTCAATGTTATGTCTTGCCATTTAATTCATTTCATATATCTAACACTGAGAGAGTGTCAGCACATTATCAAATGAAATTTTAGGTTTTCATAACGGGTATTTATTGAACCCGGATGGCCTAATTTAATCATCACATCCAATCGTTTATCTAAATTTAAATTCTGGTCATTTTTCCAACACTAGTGATCACTTAAATTTACTTTATGCATGGCCATGACTATGATGTGATATTAGAACACCAACATGTGTTTCTTTATATAATTGGCAAGACAAGCAACTAATATAATACTTGATCCAATATGAACTTATACTCTGTTAGAGCTTTGACTATAATCTTGATACATGCTAAGCTTGTTGGACATTCTATACTCTTCTGGAGTATTCTATATAATCATGGTATATATCCATTTTACTAAACATAATCTCTTCAAGAGATCTATCAGAATGCATCACTTCCTCAAATTTGCGATTGTCAATAATTGCTCTTTTCTGTTTAAAGATTCTTATCTCTGGAACCTATTGAGCTTGGCTACCACGCTTCAAGCGTGCTTTAGGTTCATCAGCAACTAATATTGTCCTTTTGGGACATCAAATTTAATTGGGGCATTTACAGTTGGTATATAACCAATATCATCTATTCATATCCATCTTCGATCTAGATGGTGTCGTTCTAAATATTAAATAATGTTGTGGTCACCCCTATTAAATAAAACATTGATACTTAAGCTAATATATGTACCAAACTGACCATCAATGTATCTTATTATTATTCATGTGCAAGGATTACATAAAATAATGAAATAATTACTATCTCCCCCTAATCCTTGTATATGGGTTTATGGACTTAATCCAACAACCTTTAAAATCCCTTGCACCGTTTAAGTCATAAATTCTTTTGGCAATAACATGTATCAAGAAAAGTAAAATTATTCTTATATAAAACTCTTACTTGTTCCTCAGCTCTAGCCAAATTATATTAATCTTTATCACAAATTCTTAAAACTATGAACATAAATAATACATTACTCAAGTAAGTTACTCACAATGTCATGTTTATTATCTTGAACTCATAACACTTATTCTTGCTCATATAGATATTCTTATGAACTCTTCCATATATAATATATAATTAAGGAAATATCACGTAAGCATATATGTTATTCTTCAACTACACAAATTCTTATTCATTCAATTCTCACCATGAGTTCTATATCTAGATAGAATACTATTCAAAACTTTTGTATATTCTCTCATGACATGGTATGAGTAGTATTAGAAATCTCATCATTCATAAGGTTAATTAAAACAATGTTATATATCATCAAATGACCAAACAATACTCATGAAATTTAGTTTTTGATAATGACGTAAAATATCTTTAAATAAATATTCATATGGTCAATAAAAATATGGCGCCATTCAAGTGTAAGTAATATCACTCATAAAAGTAAAAATAATATTACAATCATCGTTAAAGACTCCAATGCATCACCATAACAAAAAATCGACTATAAAATTTAATCTACACTCAACACAATCACTTAATTCAATCAAAGTTAGGCTCCTCATGAAGCTAGATATATATAACCCAATATGTGTACTACATACATAACAAATTAAATCAAAATTAGTTTGACTTTCGTTAGCAATGCACTTAGCCACATAATAATTTAATATACAAAACCAATGCCACCTAAAATACAGAGCATAAGATATAAACATATATACCATGAGCAATAAATATTATATATACATTATCATGATTAACTGATAATCTTAGATTATTAATAGTAAACTTAACACATACACATAGCAAAATAATGTGATAAAACTAATCAAGTGTGATAGTCTCAAAATTTAGCAGGCGAAATCATGAAATTATAATGGCATAACTCGTTCACTACACCAAATAAAGAGTAAACACTAAAAACAACAAAACATATCCAATATAAAACTAGGATTTTTCTCAAAGTCAATCAAAACCAAGGAAACAATTTATCCAACTAGATGCAGTGAGTTAAGGAAATAATTTCCAAGCAAATAATGCTTGGTTAGGCGATGAATAACGTATGTATAAACAAAACTTTCAAGCAAGTTTAGGGGTTTTTGGTTCTTGAATATAATATTTTAGGTTTACAAATTATGTAAAAGTAGTCATGAATTTACCAATACTCTTAACAATCTATGCGTACAATTAGAATATTCAAGCAAATAGGGGTTTTTGGGGCTACCCCAATACAATACTTGAATAGTTCAAATGAAATCGGCATAGTTATCGTAAAGATTATCATTTAAGGAAAAGAGAGAAGATGAGCAAATCATCATGTCGACATAATATTAGGTGAATAAATTAAACAAGCCCCCAAAACAAAAATTAATTAAACCCACTATAATCAGTATTAAACATGAAAACAAAAATTTCCAGGCTTGGATATCCAAGAAATCCCATAACAAACAATCTGCTTATCTAAATAAGATTAATACAAAGTAATAGTAATTTAATTCTTCCAACACAATAGTTAATAAAATGATTAACGTAGGAAAAATTAAGATCAAAAGGGAAAGACTCTTGGTATAAGGATACGTAGTTTTGACAAATTTAATAATTTGCGGAAACTCCAAACATCATTGTCGAATCACACACATATTTTAATTCTGGATTTTAATAATTACAAGTGTAAACTTACCTCTTGATGCGTGCTTGAATACTTATTCAATCAAGAACGATGTTAGATTTCAATAGTAATTCCTCCGTAGACTAATCTTTTGAGGTATGGTTTCAATCAATCGTAAATAGCTTTTGCATCATATTCTAACAGAAAATTCATACAAATTGATGGGATATGGTCTTGCTCAGTCGGCTAGAGGTGGTGCTGATAACGTGTTACGAAATAAAGGGGATAGGAGAAAGTAGGGGAGAGAATAGATGGATTTTCTTCTTAATCAATGATGTAGGAGAGTATATATATATATATATATATATATATATATATATATATATATATATATATATATATATATATATATATATATATATATATATATATATATATATATATATATGATACAATTAGAGTTTCCTTGTAAAATAATAAATATAGTATATCTAGAATATCCTAAAATAATCATAAGGGTATAATGGACATCCACTAAATACATATATTATATAACAACAATTAGGTTTTAAGTTACCAAAAATATTTTATTATGTTTTTCTTGACAAAACAGTTGCTTTAAAGGTTTTTCTGACAAAATTTCGTAAATTTTTCCTACTCAACTATATTAATTTAAATTTATTAATTTTCAAGATAAATTTTTGTTTTTAAATATAAAAGAGCATAAAAATATTGAATTTCTTGTACACTTATTGATTTTTGAGCTGATTCAAACGAACTCAAGCGAACTTGAGTCGAGTTTTTGACCGAGTTGAGTTTGAGGCTTCGAGCTATTCACGAGCGGCTGTGCTCAATTAGCACCCCTACTCAGTTACCCGCACTATCCAATTTCCCTCAAACCCAAAAATAAAATTTGTAAAAGAAAATCCCCAAATTTGAGGAACAAATAAGAAGACCGACAGGAAATACAAAATTTATCCGACCAGATTGGAATCTCGACATTTTTCTGAATACGTATTGGAGAAGATTCGCAAACTCTCGTAGGTAAAAATGTTTTTCTTTTTTTCAATAATTTCTTAGGTAACTTACAATCCAAAAAAATAAATCAGATTTGAAGGTTCAATTGTTCATAAAACCCTTCAAACCAGTTCTTGGGTTTTGCTGTTTTTCATTTTTGTATTCAACAGGAAAATTCTGGGTTGTTATTCTATTGATTTGTTGATTAGTTTTGGATTTCTTGAATTTGATATTGTCCTTTTTGAATAATTTATGGGTGTTATTTCAGTCAAATTTTTGGTTTGTGATGTTTTTCATTTTTGTAATGCACGGCAAAATTCTGGGTTTTTATTTTATTTTATACTTCACACGGAGTATTATTTAACTTTACTGTTGTTTCAATTTTCTTGGATAATTGAATTTTATATTTTGTTTTTGAATAATTCCTGGGTTTTGCAATTGATTTATTTTTTGGGAAATCTTTATCAGAAAAAAGTTTGCAGCTGATTGAAGAGAGGATTTGGGCAGTGTTGTTATTTTTTTTCAGTTCTGAATAACGAATATGAAAGGAAATGGGAGCTATGTGCCACCTCCTTATATACCCCTGGGGCAGTCTGAGGAAGATTATGAAGCTTTAACTGCAGGGAACAATGAAGCTTCTGCTTCGATTTCGATTAGTGATGGCACTGTGCAATGGTCCTCTGGAATCTGTGCTTGTTGCGACGATACACCGAGCTGTATGCTACTATCTGACTTGTGACACTTGATTAAAACACAAGGATGGGTTTGTCAAAGGTGCAATTTGAGCATATTAAAAAAAAATACTGAAATATGTAGTTGTAGGTGATATCTATCTTGATTTTTTCATTATAAAGAATTAATGACTTAGTTAGATTTCTCGCATTGTGCCTTTGAAGTGAATATAAACTATAAAGAATTATACACATGATGGATTTCGAAGAGATTGGTTAGGTGTTTCTTTTTTTACACTGGTTTATAGACACATTATTATGGTGCATGTTAATTTTGTTTAGGTGAATTGAAGGGAATGTTCTTACGAGTGCCTAAAGTACAAAGTTGGGATCATCATGTAATACCACATGTGGTCAATATACTTCATATATTTTTATTGATATAATTGTTACTCGAAATCCTTCACAAAACTCTTACTTCGTATTTGATACTGCCTCTGATTCGATTTAAGCTCAGCTAATGGTTTTATGCATGTAGGTTTACACTTTGGATTATACATTTACCACCAGATTAGTTTTTGAGTTTTCCATCAAAATAATTGGTCCTACCACATGGTCTTCGACAATATTTGATGTTCTAAGAATTGCATTATGTCATCGAGTCTCTTCTTATGTGTCTTGATCTTGCTTATCTTGGAGTAATAATCCTATCAATAAATTTTCATTTTGGTGCCTAGTCCCAGTGTACACCATTGTTTTACTCTCTCTCTCTCTCTCTCTTTTCTTTCTTTAAAAAAAAAAAATAAACTCTGAACAATGTCAGTATTTTAGTTGAGAGTTGTACATGCTACTTAGGTTGGATCATTGAATTGGGAATACTGCAAATCAGAGATAACTGAGAGGGATTTTTATATCTTGGATACCCAAACAGAAAATTTTCATTAATATTACCCATAGTATTATGTTACTTGTGCATTTAATACATCGTATCTGGATACCTTACTTTGTCCTATTCACTCAATGCAGGTTGTATAGGTACCTTTTGCCCTTGCTATCTCTTTGCTAAGAATGCCGAGTTTTTGGGTTCTGGAACTCTGGCAGGACCTTGTGTGGTTCATTGTATGCTTTGGACCCTAGCCAGCAGTGGTTGTTTCTTGTATTGTATACTTTTGGGGTTGCCTGGATGCCTTCTTTCGTCTTATTCTTGCAACTATCGAAGGACTCTTCGAACCAAGTACAATCTGCCGGTATGTCATCTATGTTATATTTATTTTCTTGGCTTTATATTTCCCATACATAGGAGATGTAATTCCATATACCTGAAGCATGCTTCTGAATTTCATCCTCACTTCTTGTAGTTGTGTAGTGTAAGATTATTGGAGGTTTATGAATTGCTGTTTATTGCTGTTTGCTTTTTAGACGGTCACTAAATTATTCTTTTTATGATTAGTTTCTTATATAGAAGACATAACTTTAGGGATCGTTTGCTTTAGAGAGGATTTAGGAAAAGATATGAGGAAAAGGAGAGATAAGGAAAGGTATTAAAAACCCCAAATTTCCTTGTGTGTTTGGGTTGACAAGTAAATTGGGAATCAAAGCCTACTGCAACCACCTCTCTCCGTTCCGTTATATTTTCTTCCACCATCATGCCCACTCTCAATCCTCATAGATCATCTTCCACCACCGACCCACTCTCTCTCCTCACTCTATCTTCTTAATTTTTCCACAATCTTCTAGATCTTCACCAACACCATACTCCACCACATATGGTACTTAAATACGGTTTTGGTCATAATTGCAATAATGTTCAGTGTTATGTGAACAGAAATGATGCGTTGATCCTGGGCTGTTTTGTGGTTATCGCGTGATTCAAATATGATTATAAAGTCTCTTAGGACTATATATTAATTGTGTGCTATTAGAGTAGTTAAAGTAGATTATTAGAGGCTAAGAGCTAATATATGGGAGACATGGGGGATTTTTTTACAGTCTTTGAATAGCAAGTAACTTTTGAGTGAAACACAGGATGTAATGTTCAATTGAGGAATGGAACAAGTGGTTCAGTTGAGAATATGAGATCACTGGTTTGTGAAATGCCTCTTACTCAACTGGACAAATCCTTTACAATATGGCCAAATGGAAATGTTACAACTGTATTTTTGTACTGTGCCACCACTGTTGCTCACTTGCCAGATGCTGCCATCTCCACTACCGCATTGCACAATTGAGAGTTTTAGGTTAAAATCTGACCTTAATCTTCCAAAAGTTGAGCATTTATGGTCAAATTCGAGCATCAATTTTATTTATTTATTACTATTATTTTTATTGTGGTCAGTCTTTCTAAATCTCTCCCTTTCTCTTATTTGCCTTTTCTCTTTGTTTGTGGTTGTGGTTGACCTTTTTTTTTATTGTTTTTTTTTTTTTGACAAGTAAAGTTTTTATTGCCAAAAGGGAAAGTTACAAACAAACCAAAAGTCTACAACCACCAAAACACAAACCAACACTTAACTTCTATCTTCTATGAAGGGTGGAAGCAGAGCATCACTAAAAGCCTACACAATAAGTCAGCATCTATCTCTATCAGTCTTCATTAAGCCTACAAGCAACATTAAAAGTTATCTCCGTAAAAACCTGATCAGCAGACTTCATGTTCTTGCCAAAAATTTTGCCATTCCTTTGCCTCTAAATACAATACACATCCTCAGCATATAAGATTCAATACAACCTGCTACCTATATGTTTCTTCTTTGCCATTATGATAGCACTGGCCACCTCCTCTGCCATATATCCGGCATTTCTGTTACAGTGTAGGGTGTAGAACTCTATCCTATGTTGAAAAAGAGTATCTGCAAGTAAAAAACAAGTTTTGAACTATTTCCCCTTGTTGTCGATGTAAAACACACTCCTGGTTAACTTGAATCCTCCTAGAAAGAAGCACGTCTTTTGTACTTAGCCTATTTTGAATAGCTAACCTAAAACAAACAAACTTCTCGGACTAGCTTTATTGCAATGAATTACTCTTCTCCAATCCATTTGTTTCAAAATCACCCATTAAATGCTAGTAAAGGTTTTTTATCGAAAAAGTCATTAGCCAGAAATTACGCCATTCACCAGTTGTACCAGCATACCTCCTACACTCAAAGATCTTTCTCACCAATCAAAGATGCAGCTTTAGGACTCTCCATGGGTAAGATGTTCCTGGATTTAATGTAATAGGCATGAATCCACTTCAACCTGAGTTTGTCGTTTTAGAGCCATAGCAACTTGGATAAAGCAACATTAGGCTTACAAGCAGTAGGAGTCTTTTCAGAGCCTGAAATATCACCACTCTAAAGATAAGCTCTACAGAGAAGTTCAGTAGCACTAATGCCTTTCTTAGAGAGTAAGAAAGTCTGGCTTCAATAAGGTGCAGATGGATGTCAATTGGAGTCTTCCAGCATTAGAAAGCTTCTTAACCACACAAGATTTCACCCTACTAATATATTTATCAGCTGGTGGTTTTCACTTTTATAGAGAGCGTACTACTTGATAAAGGAATACCCAGATATTTAAAGGGTGAACTTTCTTTAACCATTCCAAGTTCAGAGATAAATGATTTAAACCTCTGAATGAATGCCACAGAAAAAATTTCGCTTTGTCACCTCTAGAGAATAAGGGCCTTTTGATTTGAACTTATTTTTTCTGATCTAATTTGATATTATTTGATTTGATTTGATTTGATTGTGTAATTTGACTAAACTTTGACCTAATATATACGCTAATCTATAAGAAAAGAAAATATCAAGTGTGGGTGTTGTTAGATTCATAATAATGTGTATTTTATTAATATGTAATTTTCATTATTGTTTTTTATTACGAATTTAAAGATATTTAGCGATAAAAAATCACGCATAAAACAATAAAATATGTTAATACTTTATTGTTATTCTGATTTGAATTTATTTTTTTCGGATTAGTCCTAAATAAGTAAAAATAAGGTGAAAAATAACATGGCCTAAAAGTAAATCATCGCAAGCAACAAATGAGTGATTTAAGCTTTTCACACCTAGGATGACTATTGAAATCAAGATTATCATTGAGAGAAGCAAAACATCTACCAAATACTTCTTGTGGGATGAGGTTGCTCTTGAGTTAGGGGTGCTAATCGAGTTGAGCAAGGTCATCGCCTGTCAAAACTCGACTCGACTCGTAACTTTAACGAGCACGAGTAGATCAAGATATAACTCGGCTCGATAAGCTTGTGAGCAGTTTGATAATTTTTTTAATAATTATGTAAATAAAAAATTTGGTATCTTTTTAGAGAGAAGTTAGTACTTATGTCTATGTCACCCCATTTTAAGTTTAAAGGGGACTTAATTAAATTATAATTAAGGACTATTGTACAAGTAGGCAATATTGATAAAGATTGAACAAATGAAACAATGTAATGGGAAGAGGACAGAGAAAGAAAGAAGTGGGTAGTGGGTGAGAAAGAGCTAGCATAAAGTAGTCTTGTTGAGCAAAGAGATTATAAAAATAAAAACTTAAATCATGATTTGTTAAGGCCTCGTTTGGTTGATGTAGGAAATAAATTCCCATAGGAAATTCTAATTCATGGGAAATCACTTCCTTTATAAAAATTCCTAGGAATTAAACAAATGTGTTTGGTTCATATTGGAATTTGTGAATTCTAGGGATTGTGAATGACCAAGAGTGGGGTGGGTAAATTAATTCCCATATTTTGTGGGAAGTAGAAATTCCCATGAATTATGGCTTCCTCTATTTTTATTTTATAATGTCAACCAAACAATATGGCCAAAAGAATATTCATGGAAAATGTGAGTGCCTATGGAAATTAAAGGCAACCAAATAACACCTAAGTATCACATAAAAAAAAAAATAAAGAGTATCAACAAAGAGAGGTTATAAAAAGAAGAGCTTTAAGTCCCTTTTGTAAAAATAAGAATAACTTAGGTTCTTGTTGAGCCTTGGGTTATTTAAATGTTGGTTCTACCTTTGGGCCCAAGTTTGTTTCGGGCTTGAACTCAACTTTAGCTGGACTATTTGACTTGAGCTTGGACTCTTGGAATAGTAAACATTTTGAGTTCCGAGCTCAATCGAGTTTTTGGAAGAAATTTTAACAAGCACAAGTCGAGCAAATGAGTGCTGATTTTAGCGAGTTTCAAGCACGAATCGAGCACAAATGAAAAGTTTTCGGGTTGAGTCGAGCACCTCTCGTCGATTAGCACCCCTGCTCTTGTGGATTATCATTGAGCAAGACATCTACTCTAATACTTACAGTCCAGTATTTATCATTGAGGATCATCATTGTAAATGACTTTCTCTGGAGTGAAAATGTTGGTTGTGCGGTGGGGTTAGGTTATTGGAAAAGATGGATGGGTTTCCCTGGGGGTTAATTGATTTTGTGGTGTTTGGGCAGGTTTCCTGGTGGTTGGGTAGTGGGTTTGAAGTTTGGTAATGGCTGGTGAGGCCAGGTGGTGATGTGGTGGTCAACGTGGGTCAAGGTTGTGCAAGGAATTAATATTTGGGGGAAAGGTATGTTAGTCATAGTCTATTAGTAATAACTTGGGGAATAAGTTACAGGTTTGTTAGGAGGGATTTTCTATAAATAGGCCTCATTAGGAAGAATAAGCATATGTTGAATATTGTGAGGATTGTTATTGGGAGAGAGTGAGCCTCTCGAAAGCTCATACTTGGAGAGAATCCACCTCTCGAAAGTGGAATTATCATCCAAACTAGTGTAATTCTCATCTTATCAATATAATCACCATTTTTCTTCTGTTTTCTGCCATTTTTATTGCTGTAAACCATGCTATTTCCTAGCAGGTTGTTGGGTATAGACGAGTTTTGGTGTTAGGATGATTTCATTGGGAATGGGGGGTGTTGGCTGTTGGGGATTTATGGTAGAGGAAAGTTGGAGAAACATAGGGTTAAAAATAATAATTAAAATGACCTAAAAAATGACCAAAAAAAAAAAAAAAAAAAAAAGGAAAGTGGGAGAATGTTGTCATGTAGCAATCTTGACAAAATGAAGCTTTTAAAGAAAATAATGAAGTAGGTGTTACAAAAGCTTTCATCATACTTTGAGGTTTGAAATTAGGATGAGTGCATGTTTTATTGCTTGTTTTAAAAGAGGGAAATGAGCTTTACGGGGACATTGCAGCAACAAATTTTAGAAGGGTTGAAGGAAGTGTCTCTTCTTTCCATCCATTACTTCCTCTCCCCCACCCCAACTCAGAAGGCATGGGACCTGTTTAGGGTTCAGAGATGGGTTGCCATCCACCACCAGTCCACCAGTGCCAACGGCTTGCTCTTCATCTTCTCATGATGATTATTGGCTTACAGTCGGATAGGGATTAGAATAAATTATTGAATTTACTGCTAAGATTAAGGCAATTGCACTTGCAGAGGAGGAATAATGGATTGTATATTGTATTTTTATTAGTGCCATTGTGGACAACGATGAAGATTAATTGATTAAATTCATCAGTGTGCTCCACAATTTTACTCTTTATGATAGGATATTAAAACTATGCCTATTGGATATGTTATTTTATCATTAGATTTGTAGTTCAACCTTGTCCTGCGAAAACATAGCCATCTGGAGGTCATAAAGCTCATATTATGTAAACTGTGATTACGTTCATCTTGTTCCAGTTATCTTCTATTTAGCATTTGTATTGTCTACGTGTCTTTTGCGAAGATTTCTTTTAGTTGCAGAGTTCTTATACAATTCTGTTGTTCCAATTTCTTTTTGATCTACAGGATGGATTTAGTTTTTTCCTCAAACCTTTAGCTTCATTGTTTTAATCTCTGGTATTATTGTGACACAGGAGGCACCCTGTGGAGATTTTGCAACTCATTTTTTCTGTCATCTATGTGCCTTGTGTCAAGAATACAGGGAGATATGTGAAAGAACTGGTGATCCCAATTACAGTGACCCTAAACGACCTGTAATTACCGCTCCACCTGTCCAGAAAATGGAACCGCATCCAGGAGAGTGATGCTTCCCTGTATTATCCTGGCTTGTCGACCATGCTGTGATTTCAAGTTACCATCATAGAATCCTAGGCTGTCAATGTGCTGCTTTGTGAATTGTCAAGTCTCATGTCATGAATATCAATATCTCTCTGAGAGACCTGGAGGGATTATGTAATCATCTTTCTCAGACATTTTGATCTTTTATATACTTGTAATCATAGTGGAAAATGGAGCTAAAAAGTAGAAAGAGGGCTTCGAATCTGTTGGACGTGTACTGATGCAAAAACCGAGTTTTTTTTTGTAACAATGGTAGACCAAGTCTATCATTTTCTCCTCTCGTATAGGATAAGTGTAATAGTTTTATTTTCATGATCACTAGTGTATAACTTTGATAAATTATTATCTTTGATTATGAATTTCTTTGTAGTAAACATTATGAAAATTTTTATGATAAAATTTTATACTTTGATTGAACACAATAAATCTAACGAGTAATATGCACCAAAGAGTACTAAACTTTGGCATTTGTATCAGGGAAGGTATTGAACTTCAAATTGTATCAGGTAGAGTACTTCCGGTAGAGTACTAAACCTTCTTCTACAGCAACCGATTAACACATAATAAAAAAAAAAAGGAAAATTAAAATTCTGACATAATTAATGGCAAGGTACTGAACTTTCAAAACATGGCTGTTGCAACTAGCTGTTACATTTCAAAAAAAAAAAAAAAAAAAAAAAAAAAAAAAAGAATCAACAGGCTATATATATCTGGCTCCATATTTCATCTTGAACAGCAACAGAATCACATTATCTGCAATAAAAAATTTGGGATAAATAATTTAGTGGTGTAAAAAAAAAAATTGCAATTTGTTTTAACAGAATAAGGGATGTCTAGGACCAGTTCTGGGGTGAGTGCAGGTTCAAAGAGATGTAACTGTGGGCTGTTAGTGTCCAAAAGTAGGGCATGGACAAAGGATAATCTGGGTAGGAGGTTCCTTGCTTGCCTAGATTATGGTGCAGACACAGGAAGAAGGGGCTGCAAGTACTTCAAATGGGTTGACCCAGGAGGATTCAACTAATTGGCAGATATAGATAATTTTAGGCTTAATGCAAGACAAACAAGAACTGAATAATGAAGTCATGAGTATGAGGAAGGAACAGAGGCAATCTAAGCAGCATGTATGGAAAATAGAGAGTGATTACCTGCTGCTAAAGATGAGAAGGGCTGCTGCACTGAAACCTTGGGGTTAGCTGTGATTTGTGGAAGTTGATTGTTCTTGTGTGTGTAGGTCTTTGTTGGTATGTGTTTAGGTTATAATGTAATGAAAAAAATCAGTGTAATGAAGATCAGGTTTACCTTAGTGCTTGCCTATTCTCTTAGATTGCAAGGTCCTATAATAACATTATGTAATGAATGGATTGATTAATGAATGAATGAAGTTTATATGTTTATGCCTATCAGGAATACCTGCAGTGCTTAACTAGAAATAACATATAATTGACTTTGTTGGCTTGACAATAGATACTCTTGACTGAAAGAGTACACTGTTTGATCTCCCTCACAGTTAGTGTAAAATGCTCTCTGAACTGGCTGTCTTGGTGGAGGCTGGGCTTGAATATTTGCAGGCTAAAAAAACAAGTATTAATCACATAATACCAATATAGTGAAGACTTTACAAAATTTTAGGCTAGTTAACTTATAGTAGCAACTCTTTGATATCCATTGGGGTAAGTGTACACCCCAACACCTCTCATGTGCATTAGAACTGTAGGTGTTGTTGTTGGTTCTGTTGTGGATCATTGTGGGGGGTGGGGGGGGGGGGGGGGTGGGGTTGTGAGTGGATCCCTGCTGCCTCTCCTGACCTGAATTTTTGCAAGATCTTTTGTTATGCCCTGTGACACCACACAGGCTGCATCTCATAGCTACACCAGTTTTTCTCAACCTACCAGCAACTGTTACATCTCCTACCTGATACCTCCTTTTTTCTTTGGCCTTCCCTGAATTTTCTTCAACTTTAGTGCTATAACAACACCATCAGCTTCAGGCCACTGTTGAGCGCCATTCAATGGCTCGAGAAGGAAGTCATAAGCCTTGAGATAAGTCTCTTTGGTGAAATATATATTCATTCACATAATGCCCAGGCTAATCAACTTTGTTCTACACTGCCAAGGAATTCCACTTATTTGCCAAGCATTGCAACTACAAGTTCTATATTCCAAGTTAACTACAAATTTCTCTTGTGTAGCTCCTTGCCTCACCCCATAACAGAAACCTCCATCCCAAAAAGCATTCCACCCTCTATCCCATAACTTATTTCTCTCAATAATCTGTTGATTCCTAGGGCATAAAAGTACTTCTCTCTTGCCTATTTCATCTTTTTTTTTTTGTGCAACTTCTCCATTAACCCCTCTCTAATATCTTCCAATATAGTAATAATGGGCTTATGCCTTGAGGTGAGAATGTAGGCATTGAACACTTCACTCATGTTGTTGTCCACACTATGACAACAAGACATAGGGGTGTAGAATTCCCTACACCACTTCTTGTAATTTCTGTTAAGTAAATCCTCTACTGCATCTTCTGATATTGCCCTTATCTGAGCAATGTTAGCTATAAAGTCATTCTTTGTGTTACTCTTAGTAATTATCCAGAATTACTTCCTATATTCAAGCCCTCCTCCAAAGACACTTCTGAAATTGTATTATACATGCCTGGCACAGGCCCTTGTCTCAACCGTTGGAAACACTACATCAACAGATGTTAGTAACCCCTTTTGTTGGTTTAACATGAAAGTGTAACTAGCCCCTTGTTGTGTTCCCAAATCCTCTGCAAGTAGGGACATAAACCAAGTCCAAGTGTCTGTTTTTTCAACCTCAGCTACAGCCTAGGCAATGGGGAACATTTGATTGTTCCCATCCCTTCCTACTGTAACAAGTAACTGACCCCTAAAAGGCCCTTTTAGGAAGCACCCATCAAGAGAAATGAAGTGCCTAGAACCTGAAATGAATGGTGTCCTTCGAACAAGTGTATTATTTCGATAGAGGATTTGGTATTATTAGAAAGCTAATTATTCAGTGAGGTCAAGTGATCAGAATGCCAAGCTGGAGGCCGCTTCCGATTAGTAATATTAATGCGTAATTAATATTACAGCTTAATCTTAACTGAACCCTTCGGGTCACACCCAATCGAGTAACCGAACCGAAACGACGAATTATTCTGAAGGATTAAATGAGTCATTAGAGTATTAAGAACATAAACGTCGGATTCCGAGCTTAGAGCGTCGAAAACCGAGTGTCATAAGTCGAGTCGAATTTAGGAATCGTCAAGATGAGAAATCAAGCAAACAACAAGTCATCGCACGAGAAAATCCTAGCCTCGAAATGGCCTAGCCAATCGAGGGCTAGGATGGCTAGCATAGCTAGTCAGAGCCATTGCCGCAAGGCAAGGCTCGGCCGCAAGCTCAGCATGCCGACCGAGTCAGCCATGCGTGCAAGGCAAGTCCTGTAAAGGGCCAGCCGCACATGCCAGGTATGGCAGCAGCCAGCCCGCACCATTGCAAGCAAGGCCAGCAGCACATGCTAGCTGAGCCTTGCGCATGAGGTAGTAGCTTGCTGGGCTGCGCCTAGCACGAGCATCGCATCAGCAGCAGCAGCACGCTATGCGTGCGTGTGCTGCGGGCTGTGCATGCTTACGTGCTAAGCTGCGCCTAGCGCTAGCATCGAAGCAGCAGCTAGCTAGGGAATGCTAGCAGCAGCTCGCAAACTGTGCTTGCAGTATGTGCACCCAGCATGCCTGGCAGCAGCCCGCATGCATGCATGGCATGCTTGCTAGGCTGTTCGCACACGCATCCATGCTGGCAGCACAACCAAGCACCAGGCCACCAGCTGGGTGTGCCTTGGTGCGCATGGCCTTGCGCTAGCTGGCGTGCGGTGGTTGGCTTGTGTGTGTGAGGGGCGGTTTGTGTGGGTTGCTTGGGGAGCTAGGGGAGGGTTGTCCCCCCTTGTGGTCCTCACCTAACCCCTTGCTCTCCACTTGACACTTGTTGTTTGTTGATTCATTTGCATTTTAATTTTATTTTTGAATTAAATTAAATTGAATAAATGCATTTTTACCAACTCTCCTACATTGATGGGAGATTGAAATTCAAGGGCTCCTTTCCCTATAAATACCAATCACTTGGCATTGGGAAAGGACACTTGAGTTATTAACTTGAAAGGATCTCCACAAGCGAGAACACTTTGTTCTAATACTCTAAGTACTTTAGGGTGAGAGCCGTTGGAGGCTTTCGCATTTGCGAAGCTCTACGCTTTCAAGTACGAGCTCTTAGAAAGAGCGAAGCACGCATCAAGGGTATGATCATCTTTTCTTCTTTCTCTCTCTTTGTTAATTAATTAATATGCATGTTTAGTTACTTTAATTTGTGTGCGAATTTTGGGAGGGTTTCATTCTGCGTAGTGTCGGACACTACGAAACCCAACAACGGTATCGGAGCCGCACTCATTTAATTGTTGTAACTAATAATTAATTAAGGTGATTAAAATGGATTTAAATTTCTTGTTTTGCTTTCTAATTGGATTAGAAGCTTGTTTTAATTAGTTTTAATCTCGTTTTAATGATAATTTTGGCTAGAGAACCTAGGTTTCGACCCAAAAGTAGTGTATTTTGGGTGGAATCGATGTTCTAAATCAGTTTCTATCCTCTTCTCTTCGAGGGTTATCTAGAAGCCAAAATCCACCCAGAAACATGTTTTTCGAGGGGGTTTTCGTTTTTGACGAAATTTTTTAAATCTTTAAACCTTGATTAATTATGGCATGTTAATGTTAGACTATGTGTATGGTTACATCATGAATCTACTGCAATAATGACCCTTATTAAGCATGTTTATGAAGTCATATTTGTTGCTTAATTGGCGAGTTCATTTTTCACATAAACTTGCAATTTCACATTTTTGCAAATTAATTGCTTCAAGTGTGTATGTTTAATTATGGTGAATTTGTAATTTTGAAGCCCCTAAAGTGTTAAAGATCCAATTTTTAATTGTTTATTTGGTTAGAGCTTTACTTTCTAGATTCCATGTTGAACTAATTTTTGATTTAATCATTTTTGAGTTGATTAAAGTCTTAAAAGTTCAAAACTTGTGATAGAAATTTAATTAATCTTCATATTGTAAGATTTAATTTTTCAAGTTTACACAAGTTAGTGTTGGAAAATTTTCATTGGATGATTGTGTTTATTTTTCCAACTCCTTTTACTTTGTCAAA